TGCGCGTGTTTCGCTCACTTAAGAATTTAGCGGATGCGCGTTTAGCGCAGTTGCACTTTTGGTTGTAATAGGACTCCAAAGTATGCAAACGGTTTGTATGTTTCTAGCATATAATGTGGGAATGGAATTTATGTAGAAGTTCATAAAATGTTGTGTTAACTTATATGCTATTGCAGTCCGATCTGGATAATTTCATCGAATAGTGCGCATTTGCCCTGTGTAATAATTCGTGCCAATACAAACACTTGATTTTGATCGGTCAGCTTTTATGACAGCTATTTGCTATAGTGATCTTATATTAGTGGTAGCGGTAAATGTACCGCTTTTCGGATAGAAAAGAATGGCTGCAAAATTTATATCGATATTAAAAAAATTGAGAGACTAATTTACAGATTTACAGCTATATCTAAGTCGACTACAATTCATAAGGTCTTCGACATTTTCATCGTTTTCCTATAGACCACTTTGGCATACCTACATATTGTTGATATATCCACATATGCATTGTGCAAAAATTAAATTTCTGGACTAAATTTAATGTGTTCACAGACGACACGCTTGTGGCATGCACGAACACAAATATTTCAGCAAATGAATTAAGCACACATTTATTACAGGAAACGCTCGGGGCGATGCAATGAAAAGACTGGCAAAAACCTATAAAACAAAAGATATAATTTTGGGCGGAAAAATGCGAAAAGGGACGAAACGTTGAGTAAACACAGAATTAATGGCTCGAATTGTAATGAATGCATATGCGATATGTATCTTGCCGTACGATAACGGTATATTGTATCCCAGTCAGTATTTGTAAATGAAATGGAGTCTAATGGTTTTAATTTTGCTAGCAGCTACTAATCGCGAAATGCTGTTTAGATATTTTTAGCGATATTTTCGTTCCACTTCGAAGCAGATAGTCTCGACAGTGAGTTGAATATGGCTATCAATGGAATAAACTATTTGCAAGACTTCATTTCTAGTCTTCTTAATACTAATTGTTCTTTATAGAGTAGATATATGTATTTAAGACAATGCCAAATTGTTTTACATATAATTTGGTTGATTGTTTTCGGTATCTTACGCTTATTTACTAACTTAAACTTTTTGAGTACATTACATAAAGTAGAAGAACTTATAATTTGAAGTATTTTTATCATGAATGTCATTCACTAAGCGGTTAAGATACATTTCAATAGAAATCGCAACCAACTATAGGTATACCTATGATCGGAAAACTCAATACTGACTTGCTCAAATTGACCTATTGCGCATTGGGCTTAAGAAAATTGGTTAAAATTCAATGCTGGGTAATTTCAAATCTTTATATACATACATACATTCATACTTATATGTACAAGTATGGTTATATAGTTATATATACAAGCAAATATATAGTATATATATGGCTCAGAGCACTTACAGAGATAAATGTGGGCCAATGGTAGGAAAAACTAGCGTGTGAATGAAGGAAATAATAAAACGCAAAATTAATTAAAAACATATAGTTTATCGACTATTACATGCTTAAAGCTTTAAGCTAAATTGAAAAGAAATGAACTAAATTGAATGCATATCTAATAAAATAACAAAAGGATGCGACCTGCCAGCGGAACTTACAACATCCACACTTACGGCTCAAAAAAGAGCAAAGGTGTGGGCGAGGGAATCTATTTCTCGATGCATGAAGCTGGATTTTCACCGATCTTTCAAGTTTACGGAATACTACTGCATTGTCCAGCCAATTGGGAAAGTGGTAGAGGTAGGTAACACGCAAAAATGTATACGTCGCTAGCCAGGCCGTAAATAAGGCAATAATTTCACAGCGTCTTGCATAAGAGAAGGTTCTTAGAATCAGAAAGATAGTAAATGGCGAGGCTGCATGTGGAAGTAAAGTACAGGTAAGAGATAGCCAAAACTACAATTCGTCTGGCTGCCGAATAAATACAGGAAATACATAAGTGGCTTTAATAAGAATAAAGACAAGTTCACCAAGGTCATGTGCAAGGGCCAAGCAGAAAACCACACATGCCTACAGGACGGTTGTTGGCCTATTGACAGGTTACAAATTATATTGGCATTACATGTGTGCCGGATGAGCTTTAGTAATGGCGATAAATGCAGAAAGTGCAGTAAAGTATTAATGAGAGAGATGCTGCAAGACGTCTTATGCTTCTTAAAGCCTTAGCCACAACTTGTCTTAGATATCTATGAACTTTACAGTTCAAGGAAATGGAAGAATTATTAAAATTGCAAATCCAGTCGCTCTGAAATTTCGCAAAAAGCGTTGATGTGCTGTACGATGAATATTTCAGCTCAGCTCAGATTAAACTAAACCTCGCCGTCTGGCTTACTAAGTTTATGTATAGCGTGACAGCCTGCCAAACTTAACCTAATAAAATAACAAATACAAGAATTGTCGGCTATAATTAAATAAAACTGGATTGAAATGCAAGACTTTGCTTTTGCTGTATATATTTTAGAACTCTTGGCAATAAACTTTGAAGAAACAACTTGAGAATTTGAGACAATTTTTTGGAGATGTTGTCGAATTAAATATGAGCATAAACAAAAGGGGTTCATGGAGTGGCAATTTCACTTCGGCGAACAAGGAAAAATCATCTGGAGCCAAATCTGGTGAATACGGTGGTTCATCTATGGCATTCATTGCGTTTTTGGCTTTAAATTCGGTCACAATCGTACTCTTTTTGAAAAGTTTTCTTAATCGGGTTGAGTGGAGGGAGAAGCCAAGCTCTGCTGTCATCTCTCGAACACTTGCCTGTCGATTTCCAAGCACCATATACATCACTTTTTTTTTAAATTTTTTTTCAGAACTAAGCACGTCTTCAACGATTTCTCGACCGTATTTGAAGGCTTTGCTCCACTCGTAGACTCGTTTTCTCAAAACAATTTATTTAACTTGAAACGATTTTGCACCTTTTTTTATGTATTTTGTAATTCGAGCATTTTTTATTTGCCACACTGATGGATATTCAAGCAGCTTTCTGGAGGCAAACAAATTGTGCAGCATTTTCCTGGTGCGTTCATGCGGCTGACATTCAAACTAAACAAAAATAAAGCAAATATGGTCAAACTATATTTCCTTTCATTGCATTTTTAATAGCAAATGGTTAAAAAAAATAAAATAAAACCAATACAAATACAAATACTCCGATGTAATCTTACACAGGTTGACTTTACTCTATTGATATTTTGGTTAATATTTGAAAATTCGATTTTCGCCCTATTAAAAATCAAAATAGGTTTGCACAGAAGAGCTTTGGCAAGACTTCGAAATTGGAATAAATATTCGTATGTCGAAACTGCTCCGGCATAAATACGTTCATTTTGAGTTAGATTCATGTTGAAGTTTACACGTTTTTTTGCCCTTAGATACATACCTACATACATATGTGATTTATTCATGTGTTTGTATGTGTTTGTAATGTGCGTGTGAATTTGCTTTTATTTATTTAATGAAATATTTATTTTCACAAATAAATAGCAAAGCTTAGGCGCATTTATGTCGATTTCAATAGTTATTACAACTCTATGAAATATTTATGAATCTATGCAACACAGACCTGCACATGAGTGCGAACGTGCCACATTGCTGTTGAAGTTTTTAGAGCGGAAATCGATTGCATAATTTTCAGCTGAACGCGCTTACATATTCCAGGCAATGAAAAAGTGGTTTTCAGTTCTCGAGTCGCTGCTCTATTGCTTTAAACTGCAAATACATAATTATATTTAAGTGGCTGCCGTTTAGCTCTGCGTATTGCTTTGACATTTCTCTGTTGCGCTTTTGATAAATATGTGCTTTTTCTCTAAGAAAAAATGTTACTATATAATTGTACAATATCGAATATGAGTTTTCTCTCCACTTTAGTAGAAATGTTATTAATATTAGGTTGTCAAAAAAGTCTTGCGGTATTTTTGCGGTATCTTTATTGAATTTTCATTGTTCATAAAATTTTTTTTTGATGACTCATGACCGCGCTCTTGACCGATGCTGCGACTGCTACTATGCCGGTCTCTTTCGACCACTTCAGCGATTTTATCACAATTTTCGACGACAGGAAATCCGGAGCGAGGCGCATCTTCGACCACCTCTACACCAGAATGAAAACGTTGAAACCATCGTTGTGCGGGGGAAATGGAAACTGTATCGGGTCCATAAGCTGCACAAATTTTATTGGCGGCTTGAGATGCATTTTTACCTTTATCGAGCTTTTCAAAAAGGTATAGCATGACCCGATGCGACGAATAAAACTAGAACTACGCGCTCTCAGCGCCAACTAGCGAAAATACCGCAAGACTTTTTTGACAAACAATATAATATCGTATATAGCATCAAAGGATGTATATCCTCTTTATCTAGCTTGTGATCCGCTAATTTTTATGGCAGCTATATGCTATAGTGGTCCGCTCCGAACAATTTCTTCGGAGAATGTACCGTTGTCTTGGAAAATTGTTTTTATGAAATTTCGTGAAGATAACTCGGCAAACAGAAAAGTTTTCCTACACGCATTTGATTCCGATTGTTCGGTTTGTATGGCAGCTACATGTGTGCTAGGGTTGTCCGATATCGGCTGTTCAGCTTCTTGGTAAGAAAAGCTCACGTGCGAGATTTCAGGATAATAACTCAAAAACTGTGGGACTAGTACGAGTAACATACATTATCTTCGAAAGTTTTCAAATGAGACAAGATAAGTCGGTATAGTTACGATGTTAAAGTGTCTCGGAAATATGGAATTTTTCGAATAGATAGGTATAAATCCAAAAGGCTCTGAAATGCTAACAAAAGAACGCATTCTCTTCCTCTTTAATATTTACCATTTTCCGATGAAGGCTACCGATTTAGTCTCTCTAATAATACTCCAATGGAATGCTTTTCGTAACCACAAATATCTTAATTTATATTTATTAAATTTGTAAAGCATATTAACCGTAACTAATGTCTCTGTATTCGTTTTGTTATTTTCTTTCCAGCTTCCACACATGCAACGTCGTCGTTTAGGCTCTGTCGGCGACTCGGCGCCACCATCCGAATCCTCCGAGGGTACGAATTCATCCGAACAGAATGAGCTGATGATCAACCCCGATTGGTCGGCACACTCACACACCTCGTCGGTACATACGCACACAAACACGCACACCACTGCATCATCGACGAACAACACGAATACAGCAAATAATCACAACAGCACATATTTTGTGGGCTCCGATGTGGACGCCGACACACTCAGCATCGATACAACGAGCAATTCAAATCTTTCCGAATATGAGCGCGGCCAGGTGGAGAGCTTTTTCGGCGGTTTGGGTACCGACATTTTCGTCTGCTCATCGCTGGCCAATCTGTATGAAGGCACTGGGAAAGAGGGTGATTGGCGTCTCGTCTTCACCGGCATACCGGTCGTTTTACATGATCGTGGCAGCGCGCGCTCCCGCGCCACATCACGTGTCACCTTGGTGTTGGCCGAACGTGGCTCATGTTTTGCACTCTGGTCAGATCGCATTGATAATTTGTCAAATTATCGTTTCGCCGGTCCATCATTTCACACGATGTGCCTTTCAACGAACCATCAACAACTGATTGGCTTCAGTTTCGATTCAACCGATTCGGCTTGCGAACTCTATCATCACATTGAGAAGCTGGTGAGTGATCCGGAAAATATAGCGCTCTCACTGCCGGGCAAGAAGAAGAAGCTAAAGCAGAAGCGTGTCAAGCCAGCGCCATTGCCGCCCAAATCGCAAATCTCACAACCATGTCAATTCCAGCATGTAACAAGCGTTACAAAGGACGATACGGATCGGTACTATAGCATGCAAGCTTTCGCGCCGCAGTCGCTGAAGCACCGTTGAGCGTAGCTGGAACGTGAGAAGTGTAGTAGCCATAATCTTACATACATAAGATATGTATGTATGTATGTATGTATATAAGTAAATTCATATATTAGTGGCATAAGCAGATCGTATGGCGGTCCGTCAATTCGTGAACTTAGTCGTTAAGTAAATTTTTAACAATCCAACTTTTTATTACTTAATTGTATGTGAAGGAAATAGTATGATAGCGAGCAGCATATTCAAACTGTTTCGAAGTAGCCAAAATCAGTAAGCCGACCTTTGTATCTTTCTACGCGCCTGCTAACCGGACACTTTGTGTAATAAATAAATAAATCAAATAAATAAATATTAAATATTTACATTTGTATATGTTAGATTGAATTTGCGTGTTGCATAAGCATGTTTATCTGTGATATAGACAAAAATCCATTTTATATACAATTATGCTACGCGAAAAAGAGAATATGAAGAAAGTAGGGTTTCTTTAAGAATTTGTTACAAGTAAATCTTTACAGACAGATAAATATACTTAGCAGAAGAAATATACTTAGAAACTAAGTAAGCGATCGATGGAGGTGTATAGCGGTGTGTTTTGGCGACATGAGCGTCCCCACTGTATATCCAGGGTATTCAGTTGTAGTAAAATCCGTCATTATTAAATTAAGGCATAATACACGTTAAAGTTATAAAAAAAAGCAGTCACCGTTGTCAAACGTTTTATAAGTAAGGCTTAGTTAAGTGAAGTGAAAAAATTTATATAAAATAAGCATTTAAATAAATAATTAATAATATATTTGTTAGCACGTTCAAATTA